TTGTTAATGTACTTTTCTCTTTTAGTCATTCCATCATTATCAGTGGTAGATGTTGCTTGACCAGTAGTGGCTCCTGGGGGTAGAGTTGGACCAAATTCAGAGGATGACAACCTCTCCCTTTCTCCTTTTCTCTGCAACACGAGTCTCTCTGAATCTTTGTCACCTTCCCTCTATCAATTAATAATATTAGTAATAATAATAATAATAATAATAATAATAATAATAATAATAATAATGATGATAATAATAATAATAATAATAATAATGATGATAATAATAATAATGAGCTAAGCAGTTCTGTAGTGTATCACAATAGAGTAGTACACAACTTTTGGAGAAACTTTAAAAATTCATAAAAAATCCAATTTTGATCAAGATTGGCTCAAACTTTCTACGCAACATAAGCACATGTATATGTATCAGGAAATGTAATAAAAATGGTAAATACTCACCTTTTCATTTTTGCCAAAATTTGGCTAAAGACCCTATACTATAGTACAGGGACTTTGGGCCAATTTTTGAGAAACTTGAAAAATTCATAAAAAATCTAATTTTGATTGAGATTGGCTCAAACTTTCTACGCAACATAAGCACATGTATATGTATCAGGAAATGTAATAAAAATGGTAAATTCTCACCTTTTCATTTTTGGCAAAATTTGGTCAAAGACCCAAAAGACCCTGTACTATAGTACAGGGACTTTGGGCCAATTTTTGAGAAACTTTAAAAATTCATAAAAAATCTAATTTTGATTGAGATTGGTTCAAACTTTCTACGCAACATAAGTACATGTATATGTATCAGGAAATGTAATAAAAATGGTAAATTCTCACCTCTTCATTTTTGGCGAAATTTGGTCAAAGACCCTGTACTATAGTACAGGGACTTTGACCTGATTTTGGAGCAACTTTAAAAATTCATAAAAAATAATATTGATTAGAATCAACTCAAAACTTTCTACACCACATAAGAGCTTGTATATGCATAGAAAAATTTCTCCTTTTTAATTTTGATGAAATTTGGTATAATAGTGCAGGGACTTTGGCCCAATTTTTGAGAAACTCTAAAAACTCGCAAAAAATCCAAAAATAGCTACATTGTTGTTTCATCAATTACTAGACAGTAAAAGCATAGGGTTATTCTCCATGAGACAATATTATGTTATTAATAAGTGGGTGTGGTTGGGTGTGGTTTACTAACTTCAAAACTGGTCACGCCTTCTTCTGACGGATTTGAAGTACTCAATAGCTGTCTCTTTTGACTACAAACGAAACACAATAAAGAGCTAGATTACTATTAGCACATACATGTACATGTACAATATTATATTAATTTTGGAGAGATAAATTTTGTCGAATTCAGTGTTTTGGTAGCCATTATAATGGCACATTGTAACCAAAAAAATTTGCCAATCACTTAAAATTTAGCAGGTTACCAAAATTTACCATTTCCAAAATGGTACTTGTTGCATACAAAATGTATGCACAAAAATACATTTACATGTACATGTATCAAAAATGTAATTAAAAATGGAGGGCTCTTT